TCGTTGCAACATTTTGTCTCAAGCAAAGAAGACGGCTGGGTGGGGCAGGAAGCCCCCAAACGGGGAGCAACCGAGAGATTAGTTTTTCTTTTTAGGCTGAGTGCCTGTTCCTCAGTGTCTTGCTGGGAAGCAGCATTGATATCAGTGATTTCGCCTGTGTGAGCTGTGTGCTTCGAGCCGAGCCGTCAGTGCCCTATTCGACTTGCAGAGTGACTTTCTTTTTGGCTGTCTACTCAGCTGGAGCTTGGTTGTGTCAGTGTGACTTGATTTGTGACCTTTTGTCGTTCAGGAGCATGGAACCCCCTGAAGTGACTGGGGAAGAGGCAGAGGCCTCATCGCCCTCTGAATCATTCACGAGTACTGAGAGCTTTGTCTTGCATCACCTGCGTGGATTACAGATCCAAATCAGTCGGCTGCACAGAATGCAGCTTTTTCTCGGTGACCGAATTTTCGCTCGCCTTGAGCGGTTGGAGGCTCAGCACGCGATGGCATCTTGCTTTGTTTATTGGAAACTCTGCGTTGTCCGGGCTTCTGGCCCCGAGCGGGTTCCTCGTGACTCGCGCGCACCTCAGCCTACTGCAGAGCGGCATTGAAGGGACTGAGCCGACCCCTCAGATGGCCAGGACTGAGTACAAATCATAGATTCAAGCAGGCTCGTATTGCATCAAGTGTTTGTGCATCGGAGAAGCAGCTTACCATCGCTGCACCTTCGGGGATATCAGCCAAGTCGCTCCTCCGAAGCGGGGAGCTCAGGGTTTTTCTCTTCTGTAGTGCAATCGGGATTGCTGTTGCTGATCGGCAGGTCTTTTGCTTTAACGCAGCTTTATGTAATGCGAACCGCTGATCATGGCGGGAGCCTTTGGTTTAGCCCTATCTGACGATTCCAGCTCATGGCATTCGGCTTTCGACCCTCCTCGTGTTGAAGAGAAGCCAAGGGCGCCCCAGCTGTCTCGAGAAAGCAGCTCTGGGGAGATAGATCGTCGCAGAAAGAAGAAGAAAAAGAAAAAGGCGAAGAAGGATAAGAAGTTGAAGAAAAAGCGATCCGTGAAACGAGATGAGGTTGCCTCTCCGGAGGGGAGCAGCAAGGAGGCTATCCTGGACCCAACCGCGAGCGAGAACGTTTTTACTGAGGTTTTTGACGAGGGCGCCGACATCTTTGCTTTCCTTTATACATCTCGCCAGGACTGCAGGTCTACGAGGCCGTCTAGGTCGACAGCTTGTGCTAAGGTGCTTGTCAGGGCGGGCCTTCGCTGCCACTGCCACTTTGCGTTAGTTTCACAGTGCCCGAACGGGCACACTGCACGCAAGCATGCCGCCCGCTAGCGGTGCAAATCTTGTGATTCTTGGCTTTCGCTTGAGCTGCTGCTATTTCGGATTGTCTGCACATGTGGGGACTCGTGTCTCTGCAGAGTGAGCTCCTCTCAGGTGCTGAGTTCACTCGTTCGCCTTGCTAAGGTGCAGTAAGGTACCATACAGCTGCCTTGATCCAATGTTTGGTCTTGTGACCGAGCAGTTTGGACTTCTGTTGCGATCCCAGTCGAATTTTTTCATGCGACTTTTGCCGGCGGCCTACCAATGCCGCGTTGCTGACTTAGGCGACTCGTTTCGAATGAATCCTTTGACGAGGGGAGCGACCCAGAAGGGGTCTTCGATCGTGCCTATGAGGCAGAAGAAAAGTGCTTCGGCAGAGAACCTGCTGTAGAGCAAGATGTTATCGGACAAGAGTCCATTGTGCGATGGGGCGAAGTTCCTCTTGATGTGACGTTGATGTGCAGCGATACTGCCACAGATTGGGCTCTTTTGTTTGCGTGTATAGCTTGGGAGCCATGACCTCGTCTACTGACTCGTCTGAGTACGAGTCCTCCTCAGTGGAGACCGAGTCCTCGGTTAGCCTATCACCGGCCAAGAGGTCGAAGCCCCGCAAGTCGGTAAAGAAGGCCAAGAAGGGCAAGAGCCACAAGGCCAAGAAGGCGAAGTCCGGAAAGCATTCTAAGGCCGCTAAGGCTAAGAAGTCCAAGCGGAAGAAGGAGAAGAAGTCTCGAAAGGAGCAAACCACCGATGCTGGTGGTGACACCTCTCGGAAGGAGAAGACCACCGACTGGGGTGGGGGCGATTCCTGGTCGGCTTGGACTCCTGCCGCTTGGAGCCAGTACGGTTCGAGCGGGTCTCGTGGCTGGAGGTCAGGAGATAAAGATGCCTCGGATTCAAGGGGTGATTGGAGTGCCGGTTCCTGGCAAGGGTGGAGGCAGAAGCAGAGCTGGCCAAAGCCTGCGGCGAAGGCACAGATCCAGCCCCTCGGTGCTGGCTGGGGGGATGATCGTAAACGTCGCTGGGGGCAAGATCTTGCCCCGGATGCCTGGACGGACTACTGGCAGATCGCCCGGCAAAACAATGAGGATGATGAGTGGCGAGTGCAGTGCCCGGCAGGGGCTCGAGACGAGGGGATTGTGCCAGTTCTTCACACCCCCGACGAGAATGAGATTGCTAAGTTTGCAGACGAGACCCTTGCCTCCTTTCAGGCTCCCAGGAGCATGCTCGAAGCTGTGCTTCGTGCTATGATGCAAGCGGGGGTGACTTGCCCCATGGTGAATGGGGTTCCTGGCATCTTCCAGGTTCGAGGCGAGGGCTGGGGTCACTTGGTGATCCCTCTGGTGGAGCAAGATACGGAAGCCCCGCTCCAGTCGCCCATGCATCGGGAAATCTTGGAGTCCGAGACGCACCACTTCTCGTTTGCTCACGGAACTTCGCAGTATGCACTTCCCATGATCCTGATGGAGCGGATCATTAGGCCCCAGAACTACAAGAAGGGCTCGATCCCTACTGTGGGACCCTTTGGAGTGGCCTCGCCGGGACATTTGACGATGTCCCCTGACTGTTTCACTTTGAAGACGATCTTGAAGAGAAGTCGTTCGATCAGCAAGGGGCAGCAATCATCGACCCTCCTTTGTGAGGTCAGATCCCCGGAGCCCCATGTCAAATTGGATGCCGGCACCGGCGAGCAGTTGCAAATTTCCTGCCGCGATGCGGGGGTAGCTGTTGGGCCGGACGCGGCGGTGGCCAGGTCGGACTTGACCTACATCCTGGGTGTGGCCATAACATACCCCTTTTAGGGGCGTGGCCTGAAGCGAAATGAGTGCCGGAATCTTCCCGAGTGGAAAACAGCCGAGAGGTGCGTGTGTGAGTGCATAGTAAGGGCTTTGTTGTCGCAACAAGGTCAGGACTCTGAAGCTGTTATTGCACTCCATGCGGTGCTTCCGGCTCTGTTTGGAGCAGTTGGGTGCCATGGAACCATGTTGGGTCGAGACCCCAGAGACAGTGCCAAGGAGCTCTTTCACAGAAGTTGTGTTCATGGCAAGTGGCCTGTCCCGTTGCAGCCTTGGCAACAGCCAGGATTGCTGCCCATCTTTGACCCCATTAAGGCCACTTTTCCCGAGGCGCTCGGGATTCCTCGGCAACCTCCCTCTACGGGACTGGGTTCTGCGTTAGTGGCCGGGCCCCAGAGTGAGGACTCTTCTTCGCCTAGCTGTGCTAGTAGAGAATGCCAGGCATGGGTCCGAGCTGTTAAGGCTAAAAGGACTTCTCGACACGGGGATCGTCGTGAAGAGGCTTTGAGGAAAGTTCGAAAATTGGTGCTGGATTTTGCCACCTTCTTTGACATTGCTGATCTCATGGCTGAGGATGAGGAAGGTACCGACTCACTGGAAGCAGTGTTAGCTCCGAAATCACCCCTCACGATTTTGAAGCATGTTGGTCCTGCCAGAACATTCTGCGAGTGGTTGGTGAAGACATCTCACTTGCCACCTTTCACGGAGCGTATGTTGTGGTTTTTTGTGCAGTGTGTTCGCAAGATGCAGAGGACTGCCGCTACTACGTTGGACACCTCTTTGAAGGCGATTAAATGGTCCTATTATTCGTTGGGCTTAAAAGTCGCTTTGGAGGTCTTCGCTAGTCCAAGGCTGCGAGGAGCTATTGCTCAACAGTTGAGCTCCAAAAGCCCCTGGGATCCGGCACCCCCGTTGCGGGTGTCGGAAGTCCTGCAGCTACATTCGATTGCTGAGGATGAGCGCGTGTCCATGATTGATAGATGTGGGGCTGTGCATTTCTTGGCTATGTTGTATGGTAGAGCGAGGTGCTCTGACTGTCGTTGTCTTCAATCCCTCGTGATTGACAAGAACTCGCAGGGTTCGTGGGACGAATCTTTCATCGAGTTGTCGACAGTGCATCACAAGACTGCCCGACTGGATGCCCAGCGCCGGCGACTTTTGCCTATTGTGATTCCGGGTTTTGGTGTTGCTAGCAAGCCCTTCGGTGAGATCTTCTGCTCTGTGCGAGCCAGTGCAGGTTTGCCCATGGAGGTACGTGACGCGCCTTTCTTGCCGGCACCTTCCCCGACAGGCGAATGGACTAAGGAGCCGTTGGATTCTAGCGAAATCACAAGGTGGCTTCGCTACCTTTTGCCGAGGTCGTCTGGCGAGAAGCCTGTTTCTAGTCACTCGCTCAAGGTGACAACATTGTCATGGTTCAGCAAGTTTGGAGGACCTCGGGAGGTTAAACGTGTCCTTGGCCACCATGCTGATGCCGCCACGGGCTCGGATGCAGTGTATGGCAGGGACGTCCAGAGCCCCGCCCTTCGCGAGTTCTCGGTGATGCTTGCTGCTGTGCGAAATCAACAATTTGATCCTGATAGCACCCGCAGTGGCATGTTCCTTTCCGGCTGGACCAGGGAGTCTATTATCAAGGCTGCTGCTCTCCCGGTAGAATCAGAAGCACAGGACAGCGATGACGGTTTGGATGCTGCGCTGAATGTAGTTTCAGATGTATCCGATTCTGAGCCGGAGGACTCCGAGGGGCCCTCTTTTTGGGCCCACCCCAGCAGTAAGATTTTGCACAAAACTGTGCTTGGCTCGGCCACCTTCATGTGTGGCAGGCCCTTTGGGGAACACTACAGTAGAATCCCACTGGCGCGTGCACAGACGTATCCGCAGTGTGCCAAGTGCTTTGCATAACACAGGCTGCACTGTACCGGGTGAAAACCCGAAAACGGATTGTTTGCCGGCATGTTAGTCAGCGTCTTGCATACGCGTTTTTGAAGCTGTGCCTCAGATTGCAGAGTACCGGCTCAAAGGTGGCTCATTCCGAGGTTGCAATGACGAGCTTGGTGGACTCGGCACCCTACTTGGTCCAACGGGCCACTGAGGTGTCGCTGACACAGCGAGTGTCGGAGAAGCTGCAGTCCAAGGGAGTCATTACCTTGGCACAACTTGCATTTTGTGTTGGGCAGCCCGGACAGGTTCTCGTTCAGGCTGATTTTGACAGGTGGGCCGATGGCATTTTGAACGACATGACAGTGGGTGAGAAAGCGTCTTTGCGTAGGCTCATTCTTGAGGCGCAGACTTTGTTGGTTGCCACCTTGAAGGATATGGCTGAGCAGCCGGAAAACGCCTCCCCCAAAAAGGTGGGGCTGGCTGAGCGCAATTCTCGTATGGACCAGCTCCGATCTCAGCTGGTCGGGGTTTCGATCACGGGACAGCTTGAGCCCAGCCATGCTTTGCTGGATTTGACAGTGCAGCAGTGGGACAATCGTTGCCTCAAACACATTGGTCCTGAGAAATGTCATAGCAGAGAGGATGAGGTCCAAAACCTCAAGCCTTTGTCTACCAGCATCTCGCTGGAAGGGGGCAAGTTGAAGGTAACAGAGAGCGCTGGCTTAGATGACAGGGACATCGAAGGGTCTCTTCAGGTCCTTAATGCTCTGAGACGACGAGGCATTGCCTATGCTTTTGCTCGATTGATTAGTTGGGACAAGCACGAGGCGTACCTCGCCTCACTGTTCGCCTACTTGACTCAACCTGCTCAGGCAGGTTACCGCAAGGTGTCTCTTCGCCAGGTGCTTCGTGCTGACAAACTCGCCTTTGCCAAGATGGCTGAGGCCGGCGAGGACATACGAGCGGACAGTTCGGGCAAATTGCCGTTGGATGAAGCCATTTCCAACATCTTGAAGGATTACTCCCTAATTGTGGCATTGCTTCCCCTTGCTGATGTTGAAGGGCTGTCTGGGAAAGGCCGGCAAGGACAGTGGCGTCGGCCGGGGCCCTACGCCCCTTTTCTTGGCAAGAAAGGTAAGTTTGGCAAAGGTGCTGGCGCCGGCAAGGGGTTCGACTCTTGGGGAGGCAAGGGTTTCGAATCCTGGGGCGGCAAGGGGAAGGCTCCCTGGAAGGGCAAGGACCCTAAGGGCAAAGGAGCCGGAGCCTCGGTTGCGAGGCAGGAATGGTTGCCGGAAGGCTTGCGGTACCAAGGAGCTTCGGCTTGGAGCAAGCGTGGTGGCAAAGTGTGTTATGGTTACAACTTGGGGCAGTGTACTGATTCGGCTTGCCAGAAGGGCGAGCACTGCTGCATCATTTTCGCTTGCGGTGGTGATCATCCTGTCTCCCAGTGCCCCCGTAAGCCCAAAAAGATGTGACTTGAGGCACTGCCGGAACTTCCGGCAGTGCCATTGCAGGATTCTCATTGTCCTGCGCAACAAGGGCCGACGATGCCCTGTAGGAGTGCCGAAGATGCATTTTTCCTCGCCGATGATGCGATGGGCGGTGGGGGGGAAAGTCCCCCACGGCCGGTCGCCCCTTCAGCGCCGACAGAGCCGGCATCTGTGATCCACAATCAGGGTTTGAACTCAAGGCCCGTACAGGATGAGGCTTCCTCCGCAGAAGGGGGGCCGTCTCGCGCTATTCTGCAGTGTTTTTCGGGACCGGCCAGCTTTACCGCTGCAGCCTTGAGGCAAGGCCTCATGGCGTATGGAGTGGATTTTTTCCGACCTAAGGCGGCCGTGGCCCCGGTTCTCCAGATGGATTTTGCTACTAAGAGGACGCAGGACCTCCTCTTTCAGTGGCTTGAGGGTTCCAAGCTGGCAGGGGTGCTCATATGCATTCCCGCCATGACGTTGCCAGCTGATGTGATTCAATTTTGCGTGCATTTTGCCAGCAGTTGTTTGCAGCGATCACTTCCTTTGGTGATCGAGGGGAGGCCTGAGTCTCCGCTTTGGTCGGCTCTTGGAGAGTCGACGGCCCTCGCAGGACTTCCATGTGACCTGGTTGTTAACTTGCGAGATTACAAGAGCGGTACGACCCGTATCGTCTCAGACATGCCTGAGATCCGGGTTGCCTCGAGTACCCTAGTTGTGCCAGGACAATCTGGTAGTCGGATGACTAAGGAAGCCGGGTGTGCTTACCCGGCCGCTTTCGCGACCATGTTGGCTGACGTATTTTCCACGGCGATTGAAGCCAGGGGCATCCGTTGCAGAAGCGCAAAGATCGCCAATCGGCACCTTAGGGCATCGGCTATGTTGCAGCCAAGGGGCGCCTCGCCGTACCCGGTGGTTGACGAGTGGAAGTTGGTGGTGTATGCCTTGGTTCCTGTCCAGTCTAGCTGTGACCCATTCGCAGGCGATAAACGACTTAAGGAGGCTTGGCTGGTGCCTCCCGGGGTGATCGTGGTACCGAGCATGCAAGTGCTCCCGGCTGATTCTCAGCTGTTGTCACGGGCTCAGAGTGGGGGGCCGATGAGCCCGCAACTCCAGCAGAAAATACAGGAGATGGGCGAAGTCTCGATACTTCGTGTAGGGATCCCGTGGGATCCACTTGAGTTCATCGCTCAAGCAGGCAGAAAGGGACACCCTTTTCATCAACTTTCAAAGAGTAATTCTCATTTGGAGACTCTGATTCAGGATCTTGTGCACAAGCCCGAGGCGGTCCGTTCCCATAGAGAGTCATTCATACAGAGATGGTCCAAGAGGACCGTGCAACTTGAGCATGCTGAAGCAGAGCTGAAGAAGAGTATGTCTGAACACAGAAGGAAGATCCTAGGATCCAAGAGGATCCTACTTTTCAAAGAGATCTTACAAACCATCAACTATGATGATATGGGCGTGGTCAATGAACTGACGACAGGAGCAACCTTGACGGGAGAGATTCCGGTCACCGGTGTGTTAGACACTAAACTGAAACCCGC